TTTATCTTTTTGGTTGCTGTTATTTCCTTGTCAGTAAACTTATTTCTCAACTTAGACTTCCTCTCATTTTGTGTCTCTGTATTGGTGGGAAATAAAAAGGGAAGGAGTTCATTTTATTGGAGTTCCAGCCCCAGAGTTTATCTTTAAACAAAGTTAAAGTTGCGTGGGGTTTGGCAGAGTCACACATGCCCGATTGGTCCATGAGGTTCCACAGTGTCCCAGGATTCCTGTGGTCCCATGAGGCCCCTGACTGTTACAGTGGCCCCTTGATTCCTTGAGGCTCCAGAGGGTGACAACAGCCCCTTGATTCCATGAGATTCTACCACGTCCCAGACTCCCTTTGGTTCCATGAGGTGCTTCAGAGAATTTTGGAGAGGGACCTTTACACCCCCAGATCTTGATGTGTTCACACATCTCTGCCTGGGTGTGGGTGTGAATTGACTGTGGTGTGAGTGTTGTTACTGAGAATCTATAATTCAGTCACAGTTCAATTGTAACAAATTATATTGAATCACTTGATAACTGTAAATTGGTCAGTGATTAATGCTACTAATCTCTTTTGGCCCCTTATCTCTCTGTTCAAATCCTTTGCACCCTGACCCTCTTATACCCCAAGGCTCTGTGGAAATCGTTCCCTTTCATAGAAAATTATATTTTTGTGACTTCCACTCTAAAATCTTCCTCCTCAGCTAAACTAAAAATTAACTCCAATTAGTTGTTGAAGATTTGAAGACACAAAGACAATTAAAGAAAAAAAAATAATTTGCTTTTTCTGTATTTTAATGAGTCCCACAGCATGTTTAGAGACAAGTCCATCATCCAGAGGTACTGAGAGAAGATTGAAGAAGCTGCTCAAGAAGTCAGAAGCCAAACTCCCAGTGCCTTGAAGCATTGCTGGGCCCCACTGAGGGCAGGCACTGACAAAGCCTCCCCAGGGACTCCTGAGAGCAGATCCTTGCAGGCCAGGAGTGCAGGCAGACAAAGGCTCTGGGCAGTGTCACAATGGTCCTCTGATTCCATGAGACAACATTCCTAATTTACTGTCCAGACCAGAGGGAAATCACAGGAAGGGCCATGGTT